CAGTGTGTTCATTCCATGACTTTCCCCTCTTACATTCTTATTTTTGATCCATTTCATAGTTGGTTGGAAAACATTCTCCAGTGTTCCTCTCAAAAAGGATACATGGTTGAAACCTTGCACACTAGAGAATGTCTTTGGTTTATTGTGACCTTCATACATAGAAGACAGTCTAGCTAGGTATAAAAATCTTGGATCTCAAAGTTTTCTCTCCTCACAACCTATAGACATTGCTCCATTGTCATCTGGCCAGCTGCTTGTTGATTTTAAATCTGTATCTATTTTTTCCTCATCCTGGTATTTCATATGTTTTGCAAAGATGTACGTGGGTGTGTTGGTCTTTTATCCTTGATTTTTTCCAAAAATTCAGCTCATCCTTTCCTTCATACATAGGTTGGCCTTCAGCTCAGGGATCCTATCTTTGGTCTTTGCTGCAGTTCTCTCCCAATTATATGCCATCTCTCCACTTTCCCTCTTCTATCCCTATCATTTTGTCTTTCGCAGTTTCCACGTCTTTATCCTTTTCCTCTAAATTTTGTGAGGATCTCTCCGATTTACTCTCCATGTTTCTGAATCTGTTTTCTACAGTATTATTTCTCTTGATTGCTTCCAAAGTCGATTTTAATTGTGCTCCTAGGCTTTTAGGTTTAGGTTTTTCCAGCTCTTCTTTCTTTCGTGTGTCACCCTTTTTGCATCCTCACGTGGCCTTTTCAGCTTGGCCTCGTTTTCCCATATGGCTTTTTCTCTCCTACTTCATAGAGGCTGTGTCTTTTTAGAATTTTTTTTTAGCCTGACACACCCATTCAGTTTCATATCGTCTACGGCTGTTTTTGAGCTACGGTGACAGTTTGAATAGTTGAGACAGAGACCGTATGGCCTGCAAAGCCTGAAATATTTACTGTTTGGGACTTTGCAAAAAGATTTGCAGATCCCTGGCCTAGTTTGACAGCTGGATTCCCACTCCAGCCCCAAGCTGGATGGCAAGGGAATGCATCCAGCTCCCTCTCCAGTTCCTAATCCCTCCCAGCCTTTCTCCTCATTTCACTTCTGCTCTGTGGAGGTGGTGTCCTTCTGTCTCCACTGCCTGACTTTCTTGTTCTTATTTAGATAAAAACGTGAGTTCATGCACCCACTGCAAACGCAGTCCTTCCCGTCCATCCATCCCCTTCCTTAAGCCTCCCTTCTCCGGATCTGGCTCCACCATGGGGCCCCCACCCACTTCCTGCCCATTCTTTCTCCGGTTGTTGTCTCCCTGTCATCTTCCCTTTTTTTTCCCCAGGATTTTTCTGTTCATCAGACAAAGAGCTCTGTCCTGAGGTAAAACCTGGACAGGTTTTGCTTGTTCTACCACCATCTGCCTTTAATTAATAGCGATTGCTCCCAGATTCCAGCGTTGGGTCATCTGTCAGTTTAGTTTTTGGCATTAGTGTGAATTTTCTTTTCTTTTTTTTTTTCATTGTCTGTATAGCTATTTTGGAACAAAACAAGGAGAGGAAACGTGGGTAGCTGCAAGTAGATGCCATTTTGAAGGAGTCAAAGATGCATTTTAAAGCTGGGTTTGGTCCATCTTGAGGCAGTCTCTGTAGCTGTGTGTGTGTTTGATGAAAGATGAAAATTCAGGAACACTTTCCTTATCCAGGGACCTCTTGTCCAGTGACCTCAGTTCTCTGGAATACACCCAAAGAGTCAGCACGCAGCCAGAGAGCTGCCATGGTGTCCGTGCTCTGAAGGTTATTCACTGCACCCAAAGGAGAGCAGTTCAGTCTCTCATTCCAGGCCTGTTGACCCATGCTTTTACATACAGTTCGAATAACCTTAGTCTTTGTTTTCCTAGCTCACAACTAAATCAGAATCAGCAAATCAGAAGGGAGAGGGGACAGTTTACAACAAGCACACTGACCTGATGAGAATTGCTGGCTGACAGAAAGGAAAGACATAAGACCACATAAAAAATAAACAACCACCACAACAAACCGAATACAGCTGTAGATCTGCACATGTTGAGGCTGGCACCATTTCCCGCAAGGACGAGCGGCTGGAGGTTGCCCTATGACCCCAGTTTGAGTCAGCAGTCACCCCTCTGAGCCTTTCCTCTGCCAGCCTGGGTCCTCCATACGAGGCTTGGGTGCAGAGACTGTCTCCACCTCCTGCGACTACAGTTGGCTCAGACAGTGGTTCTAAGCCTGGTTGCACATTAGACTCACCTGGGGAACTTTAAAAATCTGGACACGGAGGCTGCCCCCTAAACCAGTGAAATCAGAATGTCTTGGGGGTGAAACCCAGGCATCAGTGTTGTCCTAAAGCTTCTGGGTCATTCCAGAAGCCTGGGTTGGGAACCAGGCCGTTAGGAGCACAGGCAGGGTTGAGAGCAGTGCCACATGCCTCTTTAGTGCCCTGTGAGTGGCTCTCGTTATTGAGGAGCAGACTTGATATTCATGGGGGCAGCTGTGATTTGTCACATGGGGTCTGGAGCTGGATCTAACTAGGCAGTGATGGATGCCACGCATTCGAGGATGGTTTCTGGCCCAGGTGGATACTTGGCTCTGAAAAGAAGAGCTGTGGATGCTGCTAGGAGGGAGTGATGGAGAGGGAAGGGAGGGCTGGAGGTGCAGGGCCAGGTCCTCCCAGGGGCCGCCTCCCCTCCAGCCCACAGTGCACTTGGGCCTGGCACCCTGGCACCTTTGTCAGCTCTGCTGTCCTGTCTGAGGATGGGAATCACGGTGCCTTCCTTACAGGGCTGCCTGGAGGCTTGGAGGAGCTGACGTGCTGTTAGGGGCTCTCTCCAGGGCTGAGTCTCCACCCCACAGAGGAGACAGGGCAGGTGATTGACCGGAATGCAAGTACTGACGAGGGCCAAAAAGAAAAATAATGAGAAAGCAATGAGGGTGAGTTCAAGGCCGTCCCTGCAGGGACGTCACCGGCACCGCTGGCATTCTAGTTCTTTCCCGAGTGGAAGACAGCAGGCAGGGATTCCCGCCAGCTTGCTGGGGAACGCCAGGACTTAGGTACGGCCTGGGTTCAGCCCCAGCAGTGGCTTTGCCGTGAGCACCATCTGCCCCTGGGATGGCAGAGATGTGGCTGAGAGCGGCCGTTCCCAGCAGTGCCATGCGGGGCGGGGGAGTGGGGGGCGGTGCCACTGCCTGTGGGTTTGGGCCACTCCACTCACCGTCACCTCGTGTGTCGACGCCTCGGGCTTGGCCCCAGTGGAATACAGGCCGCTCTCCCTGGATGCCCCAGCCCCTGCCTTCCACGAGGTCCTGACTCCAGTAAGCCACCAGCTGGCAGGAGGGGCTGGTACTGTGGACTCCATTGCCCCCGGGCAGGGCATCCGGCTGTGGGGGGGGGAGAGGTCCAAGGACTCTGACCCCTGGGGGCAGGAAGGGGGGCTGTTTTTCCCCACTTCTGGAGACTGGTTCCTAGTGGGGTGCCCCAGGAAGCTGGCTCGGGAAGCCGCAGAGGGCTGCCAGGCCTGCGGCTCGCAGGGCAACAGGATGGAGCTGTTTCAGCTTTAATTAGGACCTTGAAGGAGGCAGCCACCTCCCATGGGCCAGAGGCTGACTCTGGGGTGATCTCTGAATATTCCCTGCAGATCTAAGTGATGGTTTGGGGGGACAGGTGGCCTCCTGCCCTGGCCTTGTCCTGTACTCCCACACAGATCACTCCTCACCCCCACCCTGGCCTTGGTTTTCCCCTTTGCAGGATGGGGGGCTGGCACCTGCTCCTGGAGCAGTCACCTGTGTGTGTGTGTGTGTTTCCCTCCCCCTTTCTAGTCCCCTTGCCAGGACACACACCCAGCCCGTTGGCACCGTCACTACTCCTAGGACAGGCTGGGCCCTCCGCAGCCCCGGGGCTGGCCTGGCCGCTTCTCCGTGCCGGCAGTCTGGGAGTTGCTGGAATGCCAGGCGTTGTGCGTCCCCAGCTCTGAGCTGAACGCCTCATGCTTATCGAGGGAGAACCCATCGGTGTTTACCGAGACTCAGCGTAGCATAACCACGAGTACAGTGATCTTGGCATCTCAGACTCGAGTGCAAGGCCCAGCCTCGCCATTTGCTAGCTGTCTGGGATGCACTGGGCAGGCGGCCTCCATTTCCTAGTCTGTAGAATGGGAATAATGCCCGCAGATCAAAGAACGGTTGTGAGAATTCAGTGAGAGCCAGCATGCTGAGTGGTGGTGCGGGGCGGGCTGGAGTGATTTATTGGGCCTCTGTCGTGGGCTGGCCGTCACGCCAAAAGCTGACGTGTGAATACAGATCTGGCAAAGGAATTGCATCACCTTATCTGAAGAGAAGGAAGAGCTGGCAGGGAGGGGGCCCGGGGGGGACCTGCGTTGGAGGTTTGCATCTGCTGGGCCGACAGAGGCCACCCCCAGGGGAGGCAGGCCCCAGGGCGTCACACATCCTGCCCGGCTCGCACTGGGACGTCCCCGAACTGATACCCGGCAGACGCGGGCCCGGCGGCCCTGCCTCTCAGCAGTAGGGCCCATTAGAACTGAACTCTTCTTCGTGGGGCATTTTATTTGCACACTCCAGTAGAGTGGACACCAAAGGGGTTTTCTAATGCTTCATGGGCTGCTAATTTCCTCTGTGACCTCTTTTGTTGGGGCCTGACCCCAACCAGAGGCTGCTCGCCACGGAAGCCAGCGCCTGACACAGACCCGGGGTGCGGGGTGACAATGAGGCCTCTATTGGCTTTAATCAGGCTCCGGGTGCATCTTAAGAACAGGGGGAATTTGTGTGGCGCTCCAAAGCCCTGGGTGGCACAATATGGGAGCCCCCAGAGTCCCTCACGGAGGCCGGGGGGCCGGCGGGGGTGGTCAGGCGGGGGCCCTTTGTCCCAGTGCCTCTCCAGAAGGCCAGGACGCCCTGAATGGCCGCCCGCGCGGCCTGGCCCCTTGGGTATCACAGGCCTCTGGGTATTTAGGGAGGTGGCCTCCCACCCGGCCCGGCAGCCTATTCTTCGCCCGCCTAATTAGGTTTTGTCTGTGCTCCCCCCCTCCCCTGCAGACTGTGATTCCTACTGCAAGGCCTCCAAAGGGAAGTTGAAGATTAACATGAAAAAGTACTGCAAGAAGGACTACGGTGAGTGAGAGCCCCTTGTCTGGGGAGGGGAGGGGAGGGGAGGGCACCACATGACCAGCGAGGGGCTGGGGTTGGGGCGCAGGTGGCCCTGCGTGGGTGTTGCTCACAGAGTCCCTGGGACCCGACGGGAGCCGAGTGGGATGGGTCCCACGCCCAGGAATGTCCCAGCTCTTCCCTCTTGGCGGCAGGTGGTGTGAGGGGTCGTAGGCGTGTGGGCAGGGTTCTCCCCCCTGGCCCTGCAGGGAGGCATCCTGGCCAGTGGGGCCTGACAGCCCTGGGATTCCCAGGCTTCACTCTGCCCCTGAGGGGCCGTGTGGCTGTAGACCAGTCACTTTACCTCTCTGGTCTTCGGTGCCCTCATCCGTACTCATGGGCATTCAGCCTGAGGCTCTGTAGCTCGAAGAGAGGTCCTCCGGGCATTGGAGAAAGGGAGGGCGCTTCCATGGTGTGTTTAAAATGCCGATTCCAGAAGCCAGCTCCTTCCAAGCGTTGAGGAGCCGGGGTGGGGGCGGGGGCTGCAGAGATTCCCTGTCACTGGAGGCCTCAGGCTCCCTTCCTGGGAAGAGGGTGTCCAGTCCGTCCCCCAGTCTCCCCGGGCGCCGTCCACCCTGGCACTGGGGGTGGGGACCCCTGCACCCCTTCTCTGAATCCGCGTCGTCAGCCCTGCCCCGCGCGGTGAGGATCTGGCTTTGTGGTTTCTGGGCCCTGAGAGTGTCCGGCCCGCTGGAGGCCTGGGCTGGCCAGACACCACGATCCAGCTGCACTCCCCTCAGGATGGGGTCGGAGCGGTCGGTGGGTTTGGCGTGTCAATTCCGAAGCGGCCAGGCCGTGGGCATCCCGTCCCGGAGCCCTCTGGGTCCACAGTGAATTCCTAAAAAGCCTCTTTTAAGTGCTTGCATCCCAAGGCGGTGCAGAAACTTGGGAAAACCAACCTTGATTTTGAGCTGGTGTAAAGATAAAGGAAGTGTTGTCTCTGACCCGGGGTGACAGCAGCCCCCAGAGGCCCCAGGGGCATCGGATTAGGCTTGTGTGGTCCATGCTCCTGGCCTGGGACCCTCAGCGTCTGCCAGGGACGGGAGGTGGGACTCGGGTGGGACAAGGGTGGGAGGACCCAAGGGTTGTGCGGTGTCCCAGGCTTAGGGTTGGGGGCCCATCGAGGCTGTCCAGGCCCAGAGAGCCAGGGTGACAGAGGAGAGAGCCTTGGGCCTGTCACTCTGCCACCGCTGCTCCCTTCCCCCGCAGAGCTGGGGTGGGGGTGGGGGGGTGGGGAAGGAACAGGTGGGCTGCCTGGGGGGAGGGTGGTTTGAATTCGGTCTTGAAGCATCCTCTCTGCAGACGCTGGGGAAGGGGCCTGGGAGGAGGGGCGCCGCGCAGACTTTGTGTGAGGTGTTGACTGCAGCTCCCCCTACCCCCGTTCTGCTCTTCCCGTGAAGAAAGGGAAGGTAGGACCTTTGTTTACAGTTACCCAAATGGATCCGTCTGCCTCCTGGTTCTGTGGGACTCATTTTGCTCTCTCTGACTTGTTTTCCTCCGTTGAATTCTGCCTCCCCTACCTCTGAGGTTGTGGGGGACACTTTGGCCCCCTCTGAGCTCTCCTGTCTCCACCCACCCCCAGCAGCAGGCAGGTTCCTCTTTCTGCAGGAGGGGGCCTGGCCCCCTCTTGTTATATTCCCAGAGGGGCCCCCCTGAGCCCTGCCCCCGCTATGGGCCCCCCAGGGAACAAGGGCGGTGGCGCAGGGGGCTCGGCCTCTGGCCTCCTCTTGTCCCCTGCTGCCTGACTCCATCCTGGATTATCCGAGGGAAGCTGGTGTCCTAGGTACGGTCCCTGGCCCAGCTGGCTGAGGTGACTTGCCCAGCAGAGGCCCGGCCTCCCTGGCCGCCCCTCCCCCATCACGTTTATCCCCAGGGCCCCATGTGTCCCAAAACCAAGAGGGCTGAGAAGCAGGCCGGCATGCCCACCTTCCCAGACTTCATGGCGGCTTCACGCCACCTTCCCCCCCAGCTCCTGGCCCTGCGCTGCTACCAGCACACCGCCCAGGCGTCCACCTTTCTGCTGCGGGGTGAGATTTGAGGAGAGCAGGTGCAGGAGAGAAGCGGGGTGCCCCCACAGAGCGCCAACAGGGTCTGGAGCTGTTGTGCCATCAGCTTTAACGCTCTCATCACTGATCCCCGGCCCACTGCCCCGAGGCCAGGACTGGCACCGCCCCCGCCCACCCCCCGAGACTCTCGGAGGCGCGTTCTGGTCCCTAGCACCGTCCGTGATGCTCTCGGGGTTGCCTCAGAGTTGGGGAGCAGCCCACCCCAGCTCAGCAACTAGGCCTGCGTGTTCAGGCAGAAGACAGGACAAAGAGATGCCAGGAAGGGGATCACAGGGCCTTCTGGACAGGGCTTGGCAGACCCCAGCAGGGTGGGGGCAGGCAGGGAGAGGCTTGTGGAGGAAGGAGTGAGTGGCACCCACAGGGGCTGGGCAGGGGGCATCGGGGGCTCAGCCCGGCAGCAGCCGCAGGCCTTGCTCTGAGGCCGGAGGCCAGGTCTCCCACCGGGGTCCACGGACCTTGTGGAGAACCTTCCTCGCATCCTGCTGGGCCCCTGGATGAGGTGTGAGTGGAGGTGTGCCTTCCACGCCCGAGCAGACCTGGGGTAGGTGAGCGAGGATGGCGAAGGGAGCCGGCGGGCCTAGGAAGGCCGGGAGGGAGGCTGCAGGGGCCGCATAATCCCTGCTCTCTGACTGACACCCCGGCAGGGAGCCAATTAGGAAACACATTTCCTTCACTTTACAACCAGGGCACTTGGACGTTCTAGAAGCTGCTAATTAGAACCTAGTGGGGGAGGGGTAGTGAAGAGCAGGCCCCGGGCCCCTTTCCTCCTCTGAGGCCAGCTCAGGAGTCTTGATGTTGTACAGCGGGAGGACCTGGGTCTGGGTCTCCGCTGAGCCGGGCGGTGGCCAGTGGGTGGGAGGCCGTGGGGAGCAGGGGGCAAGGAATCACCCCGGCTGGCTTGGGGTCTGCTGGTCCTGCCCGTGTTCCTGGTGAGACAGGGCCCAGTAGGTCGGGGGAGGCCTCGGGGCTGAGCCGCCTTGTTTCTCTGCTCTGGGGAGACCCCGGGACAGGGAAGGGTAGCTGTTCCAGTCCCATCTGTAGGGAATGGGGCACTGGCCCCAGAATCCGGGGGCAGATACCACACTTGCTGTGTGACTTTGGACCAGGCTGGGCCTGTTTCCTGATCTGTCCCGTGGTGGTGAGATCAAGGGGACACGACGTCCTTCTAGACGTGGCAAGGATGGTGGCCTCACCGGGCCACCTCCAAGGGGCAGGGGTCCGTGGCGGTGCTGCCGTTGGCGGCCCCCCTCTCCTGGGCCCACCTCAGTCGTCTGGTGCCTCACCGGGCCACCTCCAAGGGGCAGGGTCCGTGGCGGTGCTGCCGTTGGCGGCCCCCTCTCCTGGGCCCACCTCAGTCCTCTGGTGGCCTCACCGGGCCACCTCCAAGGGGCAGGGGTCCGTGGCGGTGCTGAGGAAGCGCCCGTGGACGGCTCGGGGCGGAGCAGTTGCACATGGAAGACGGTGTTTGTTATTTCCTAGTGTGTTAGCATTTCCTGCCGACTTTCCAGGAAAACCTAGCCTAGAGGGGCCCTTCCTTGGCGTAAATGCTCCCAGCAAGCGTGTGTAGGTGTGTGCGTGTGTGTGCGTGCATGAGCGTGCATGCGTGAGCACATCCACGAAGCCCGCGTCCCCTCGGCGGCGCCCACGCAGGCAGAGCGCGTGCGTCCCTCCTGGAGTCGCTGGCTCCGCGGCGCATCTACCCAGAAGCCCGGGGCTCCAGAACCTCGGTGGGTGTGTACAGAGTCAGGCAAGGCACGCGGGTGACGCTGTCCCCGGGGCATTTACCGTAGGGATGTTGCACTCTTGGCTGAGGCCTGGCAATGACTTCAGGCTGAGACACCCCTTGGCTGGTGTGGGGAGTGGACTTTCTAACCCCTGGCCCGCATGGAAGAGGGGCCGGCCTGCCCCTCAGCCTCCCTCCCCCCGCTTCCTCTTCGCTGGTCCCTGTGCTCCTTGGGAGGCTCCACTGTCTGGTCCCCACTCACCTCCTGGTGTTTGCGCGACCTCCCCTCGGCTCCCGTGGCCACTCTGCGTGGGCACCGCACACACGTCCCAGGAGGTCCTGCCCCCTCACACGGCGTCCCCACCTCAGCCAGTCCCTCCTCGGACACCCATTAGGTGCCTGCTGTGTGCCCCATCCCGTCCCGGGTGCTGGGCTTACAGAGGTGGAGGAGACACAGGCTCAGCCCTCCAGGAGTTTCCGGAATCAGAGGGGAGATGCGCACACAGATGACAGCATGGACGGGAGACGTGTGGCCAGGGTCCGGCCTGGGGTGGGACGAGAATGGGGCCTGGTCTCTCCTCCAGGGAGGGTGTAGAGGGAGGGCTTCCTGGAGGAGGGAGCGCAGGTAGCCAGTGCTCACGGGGCAAAGCAGGGCTCCCAGGCAGAGGGAGCAAAGTGTCTGAGCACAGAGGGAGGAGCAGGCTGGGGAAACGGGAGAAGAGGGAGTGTGGAGGTGCAGGGCTGGAGGCCAGGGAGGCTGGGCGAGACGCTGCTGTGGGCCTCGGCAGCTGGGCTCACGTCTGCGTGCAGGAGCCACTCTGAGGCCACCGAGAGCCAGTCCCGCTCACATTGGCACACGGGGGCTGCCACCCGTCTCTTCTTCCTCCCTGGGATGCAGAAGTGGGGCGGTGGGGGGAGGCGGGAGGAGACAGACAGCTCGCATTCTGAAAGGTGAGATCATCTCACTTTTGCCAGTTCTTGGAAAAAGGATTCATTCCCAGAAATGTTTATTAGTCACCCTTTTTGTTGAAAGACATTTTGGCACCACCAGATGGAAAATCAGAATGCTTTTCATTAGATGATTTGTCTCGAGCATTCCTCCTGCGATCCCTCAAGGATGATTTCTGAGGATACAGCTCGAAGCGGAAGTTCTGTTGGCATCTGTGGGGAGGAGCTGG